TTTTAAATTTGCCATCTATTTATTGCTATACAGTCTTCCACTGCCCAAGTCATGGTTCGCCGCTCTGGAATTCATGTATTTGAAAATTCAACAATTGGCAGAATTTAATGGTGAACACATCCTCTGTCAATCATTGTTTCCGAGCTCTTTCTGAAACACCCAAGATGTCCCAAGAAAGCGCCTAAATTACCCCCAAGCCCTGTATGCACATATGAAAAGTCATCCCAGCTACATTCACATTGCAGGGAGTGGCCTGATTCACAGATTTTTTAAGTGTTTTGATGCAGTCGTTCACATCACCAAACAAGTGCAACTTTTGATGTGAATGGAATGCATCCGTGAAGTGACAGGCATTTGCACAAAAGACAATGTCGAGTGACACGCATGTGCACAAAACATGACCAGATGGCGCAGTTTTTACGGAAGTAAATATGGCGCTGTCTGTTCGGGCTCACCTCATTTCTCTCTTTGTACCTTCCTAGGACCTCACTCCTGTGTTTACATGCTTGCACCTTGCAACAGAGATCCAATCGATTAGATTTGGATATTGACAGAGTAGCGAGGCGGGGGAGGGAGAAAGATTTTGGGGGAAATGAGACGACTCTCCTCTGTCCTCATTTCATGGAGACCTCTACTCAAAATGACATCATGTCATTGACTTGCATAATAAATGAACTGTCTGAGTTATTACTATCGCATAAAAGTCCACTTTATTCTTTGCTTCAAGTGTCAAATTAAATCTAAAATTAACACCATTACTCGTCGCTTTACGGATACAAGGACGATCATGAGCAGTCTATCCAAAGCACTCTCCCCCTCCTGTGTTCCGCCCATCTTTGGCTTTTGATGACGTGTCTGTTGGATGAGCGTGACCTGAGGGCCCATATTGCAGACGCATCTGATGCCTATTTGATAAATGCCTACATATGAAAGACACCCGGGTCAGATTTGAAAAAAAAAATTGAATTGTATGGTTCACATTGCAAAAAAATCGAAAATGACCTTCGATGTAAGCGAATGGCCTTAGATGTTTCACCCCTCATCTGAGCAGGTTCATGCATAAGGCTATGTAGGACAGCAGTATCCTGAGGGATGGTGTGGAAAACCAATTTATGTTTGAAATTAAAAGCATGTTACCAACCGCAAAAGGTGTTATTAATCAGTGTATTCCTCACTGCACTTCAAATTGCTTCTCTGGGAATGGGGGATCTGATCTTCGTAGTGTGTGACCAGGTTTGAAAAAGTACCGAAATCCTTCAGAGTTTCTCAGATAGACCTGAGAGGTATGAAATGAAAATATTGGTGCTATTGAGGTCTGAAAAATATGCATAGTATGTCTCCTTGAATGCTTCACAAAGTTGACACACAGATACACTTTCCTAACATATTCAAATTTCATCCTGTAGGTGCTTACAACAGAAGAGCATGGAGCAGGCTTGACTCAGCCCTCAGGGATAGGCCAGCGTCCCTGCCCTTTAATGTCAGAAAGGTTCATCCAGAGCTCGAAAAGCAACCCAAAGCTTACCTGCGACACCACTGATGACGGGTAACAAGATACCATCTACTTTTCAGTACATTTAATAGCCTTGTTAGAGAAACTTGAACAGGAGTCCGTGTCCTGCATCCAAAGATTTTCCTACACGCTATTTTTTTATTCATGTAAGTTATCAACCTTGCACTTCTTGTGGTAGGTATTGTTTAAATCAGGGGTTCCGAACCTTTTTAGACGCAAGATCTACTTTTCAAGTAGCCAACTTTCCGCGATCGACCAGTTCTGTGTCAACATTGTAAACCCACACACCTTTTCCAGCCTTAAGTAACATCTGTTTACTTCCTGTCATGCGAGTCACATGCTATATCTAGGTCAAAGATGACCTACATTTTTTAAAAACTTTTGGTGGATGTAAGACTGATAGGGTACGCAAGCTGTTGTGCACCCCAACTCAAAATATATAATAAAATGTGCCCCTCCCCCTCCCCAAAAGAAAAAATGTTTTATTTTTTTTTCTTCCCCCACATCCTTTGCAATCTTCGACTGGTTGGGCACTCCTAGTTTAAATAATTTACTGAAATGTTGAGGCCCTACAAAATGCGCAATAGTTTGCAACCCTTTGCATGTATTTAATACATGTCCAAGAATTCTTGAAATATTGTTGCATTCATAGCTTTAAATATCTGCTTGTCTTAGACAGAGTGTAATTAAAGCAAGCATTTGCTGAGTAATATCATTTTAACACTGTAACCCCCCCTTCCCCAACCCTTGCTCCCACATGTTTAGATGCTCTAGGGTGCCAGGAGTCTCAGGCCAATGTCAGAAGAAACCATATAGCAGTGATAAGTCTTCACTGAGCAAAAAACATCTCGTGGAGCAACGTCTCTCCTCCAGGAATTTCGCCTCTTCTGTTAACTTGAACAGTCAGTTTGACAGCGCATTCTCTTCTTCCTCAGAAAAGGTATTCCCAAATTTAAATATCTGATCCGTACATCCGTTGCCCAGTTTTATAGAAATAAAGCTGAATATATTTTTGTTCATTGTAAAAGTCCCATGTTCGATATTTCAGAAGCTCAAAATAGCTCTTATCCATTCCTCTCGTGGACTGTGTTTCACGTTACAAATCCCAAATTCCCAAGAGTAAAAAATTGTTGACAGTGGCAAGGAGAAAAAAAAACTTGAGTGAATCAGACTTGAACCACTTAGATGAAATGGGAAGAATTCTCAGCTTTCGCCTGAAAACCATCCACACAAGAAATTAAGCCTGCAGCTTGAAACTGTTTACCAAAGTAATGTACATATATTTCTGCGAATGGGGTGCTAGAGGGAAGCAAGTACAGTGCTGGAGTATTTGTTTAACTTGTTTAACAACGAAGAAAAAAATCTGCAGAAGTTGGTTCATTTGGTCTTCTAGGGGTTGTGTTTGAATGTCATGATCTTTTTCTTAGGTTGTGGTTTGTGATTGTGTAAAAAAAAAAAAAAAAAAAAGGCATATATATATATATATATATATATATATATCACAGATTTTAAATAGCTGATGTTGCTAATAGTCAGATGGGCCCAAATTATAATTATCCAGCATCCATCAGTTTTCTGATCGACTTATCCTCACACGGGTCGCGAGGCGTGCCAGAGCCTATCCCAGCTGGCTTTGGGCAGTAGGCGGGGGACACACCTAAACCGGTTGCCAGCGAATCGCAGGGCACACAGAGACAAGCAACCATCCGCACTCACACCTGGGGACAATTTACAGTCTTCCATTAACCTGCCACGCATGTTTTTGGAATGTGGGAGGAAACCGCAGTACACGGAGAAAACCCACACAGGCACAGGGAGAACATGCAAACTCCCCACAGGAAGGCCAGAGCCGGAATCGAACACTGCACCTCCGCACTGTGAGGCCGACGCGCTAACCAGTAGCCACCGGGTTGCCCAGTCATAATAATAATGAATACAATATACAGTCAAACCTCGGTTTTCATCCATAATCCATTCCAGAAGGCTGTTCGAAAACCGAAATTGTTCGAAAACCGAAACCACGCTCTTTTTAAAATAAAAATGTTTACTGAACACGTCTGCTCACAATGGAAAGCAACACGAGGAAGCGTCACTTCCTCGTTTACTCGAGGAAGCGTCACTTCCTCGTGTAAGGAAGGTGAGAGGAGTCAAATGGTGCATTCAAGTGCGCTCAGTTTGTCCGAGAACCTAAGTTTGTTCGTCATCCGAGGCATAAAAAACTCGAAATATTTGGTCGAAAACGGAATTGGACGAGAACCGAGATGTTTGAAAACCGAGGTTTGACTGTACCTGGTTCCAGTTGGGGCAATTATGGGTGAACTCTCTTAGGAGGAGCTTGTCAAAATACGATTAAGGGAATTCACATAAAGTAGCAGGAATGGATTTTTCTGCATCTTGTTCATTTGATTATCTTGTTAATCGATGTGCTGGTTTTGGTCACTTGTTTTGTGGCTCATGATTTGGGCGAAAACTAGTCCAAACTTGCCGTTTCCACCAAACATCTCCAGTTTGATGTGCCCAAAGTACATTGTTGTAAAAGTTTTGTTTATATGTAACTTGGTAAACAATTGTGACATTATATTCCTATTTACTGCTACTTAATTGATTGAATATTTTCCCAGCACTGCACACAACAGGTGTTATCACCACTGGACTTTTCATCAGTCCGGTACTTCATCATGAAAAGTAGCAACCTGAGGAACATAGAAATTTCTCAGCAGAAAGGCATCTGGTCCACTATCCCAGGTAATGAGACTAAACTAACCAAGGCACTGCAGGAGAATGAAGTCATCCTCATCTTTTCTGTTCAAGGCTCTGGGCACTTCCAGGTACGTAGAATTTTAGCTTTTAAAGTTAGCATAACTTCCCTATAATGTCTGAGTTGTCCGTCTGATATTGCGAATGTTTTTGTTTTTTTGGTTGTGTAACACAGATTGCATTAATGTCGATGTTCGTCATCCCATTTTTTTGGCACATTTTTTTGGGGTTTTTGTTTTCTTTTTTTTTTTTTTTTTTTTAGCACAATTCATATAAAAGGATGAATGGGTGTTTTTTTTTTTTTTGTTGTTTTTTTATTCCCCCCCAGCTGTAAGGGGAAGTCAAGTCCAAAATTTTCTTCATCTAAAACAGGCTGGATAAGGGCTCTTAATGTGGCCTTATCCGGACTTGGGCACCCTTTCCATCAACCATACAATTTACCAATTCTTTCTTTTGGTAGAATTAGTGTATAAAAGTGAGAGCTTATTCCATTTTATAGAATCATAGACAATTAGAAGATGTCGCATGAGGACACATTGTGGTCATAAACGACAATGCATTGGCATGCATCTGGCCTTACTTTGAGACTTTGTGCATTATAATTGGTTTTACTTTTTCAGGGATATGCTCGCATGTCTTCAACTATCTCTTACACCAATTGCCAAGACTGGGGGTTCGGGCGATTAGGAGGAGTCTTTAGTGTGGAGTGGATCTGTAAAGAGAATTTACCTTTCCAGTGCACCCAGCATATTCTCAACCCATTGAACGACAACAAGAAAGTCCAAATCAGCAGGGACGGACAGGTGAGTTTTTCATTTCATGTTTGATAAAGAAAACCTCATGTGATGACTGTAGTTGTACATGCAGTCTCGAACTATGTGTTATGCTATAACAAATGGATAGATAAATGGATGGCATTCATATTTTAACATTCTACATGCCATTCCGATATAAAGACAATTCAACCCAAGACTTAAAGTTCTTTCTTGCAATCACAGATTACCTTTAACTGGAAAAATTAATTGTTGTCCTGGGGGATTAAAGACATGCTTGCATGTGTTTCATTTTTTGTTTTGTTTGTTTGTTTGTTTGTTTTTGGGGGTCGGGTATTTACAGGACACATGCCTTGCCCACACACAGCCAGTTTGAAAGCAGAAGAGAAGGGAGGAGTCGCTTTTCATTATTTTGAAGATACAGTACTCACTGGACGGCTGATAACATTTGCAAAGATGAGCGACAGCTCACCTTATGGCAAAGCTATAGCTTATAGCCGCCACACCATTAACGTAACTCAATTGTTGTCCCCCCGTCACAAATCACCTGCAGTACAGGTTCACCACTTAAACACCGCATTAACGATAAAACGGGCTAAACTTATCATTGGGATACAAAGGTTATGTTTTTTTTTTGGAGAGGGGGGGTTGTTTGTTTTTTGCGGTTTACGTCAGGCCAGTGCTATAATCAAGTCAAGAATTATTTTACTAACTACAATTTCTTCTACAGGTAACTAGAAACTGTATCAGAATAGATTTTAAAAGTAACCCCCCTAAACCTGCTAGACTGTGTATAGATTATACCTTGATATTGGCTCTTTTAATTGTGCTTGATTTTTTTTTGCTGTTGTTGTCTCAAAATGCATCAAATTGATGCATTCAAATATGAAATATTCTACATTTTCTACCATGTCCTTACCTCTCACCTTTTTCACCCCTGACCTCTTTTCATGCCTGGCATGCACAAGATTTGGTTTTTTAATTCAAATTCTGAGGGCGGAGCCCCTTGTTATTATTATTATTATTATTGACACTCACTGTTTACTTTAATGCCTCAATTCTACTGTTTTCTGCATTCATACATTGTGTTTGTGTTTGAAAATCTCTCTCCATTTTGATATCTATGACAATATCATTTAACAAGAATCAGTGTGTGCCCCGCTGCACTGCAACATTTTGGTTCATTGACCGCTAGTCAATTTAAGCATAAAAAGTTTTCAGTCAAATTATGATTTTTTTTTTTTTTGCTTTAATCACAGTATTCTACCGGTTAACCTTAATGACATGCATTACAGTGTTAAAAAAAATGTTGTTTTTGTAATTGTAGTAGACCACCCGGAACTGAGGTGGGTAGAACCAAAAACAACCAAGTCTGACCATGTCCAGTGCATCCTGAAAGTATTCACACTCATACTTTAATGTTATTGTTTTTTTTACCTTTTGAAGGAATTAGATGCCCAGGCAGGCAGACTGCTGCTGTCTCTTTGGGAGAGAAGCACCAAGTCATAAGTAATTTGGTGTTCACACTTCACTTCATCATCATTGGGATATCCTTCCGCATTATTTCAACCACCGTTTCTATCCGTTTGTCAAGTTCCAAACCACTGAGGGAACCAACTGCATCTGTTAAGAATCCCTTCCGGACAAATGTTATGTACACTTGAAGTAGTTGGTATGAATTGCACTAAATGAACTGTAATTTAAGACAACGGAACAGTGTTTTGGTGATGGTTTTGAAACCTTCACGTTTTTCTTGTTTGTTTCTTCAACGTTGAAAGTTGCCTCTTCCAGGCTACCATTATGTTTATATTCTATGTATGCCAAATGTACCAATTCTTTGCAATGGTATGTTCATCAAATACAGGAAATTGAAATGCTGCTGTTTTAGACATTTCTATTTTATGGTGGTGTTTTAGGATTTCTACTCTGCCTTTGTAATTGTTTATTAATATTCTGTTGAGATTGGAATCCAAAGAATGTTTGTCCATTCATTGTTTATATACAATATTATTCACTAAATAAACTGTTGGTTGGTTCTTATTCACACTCTTGCTAATCCTTTGAAGAAATGAATGGTTAAATACAATATTTATAAGATTGCAAGACATAACTGTAGCTCGGTGGTGGTGGCCGCACATCTGCCTTACAGTCCTGAGGTTCAAATCTCAACTTTGTCCTTCCTCTATTGAGTTTACTTGTTCTCTCTGTTCTTGCATGGGTTTTCTTAGTGTACTCTGGTTCTTTCCACATTCCAAAAAAACGCCCATGTTAGGTTAATTGAAGACTCTAAATTCACCACAGGAGTGAATGAGTTGTTTCTCTTTGTGCCCTGCAACTGATGACCAGTCCAGGTTGTTTGTACCTGGCTAGAGTCATCTTTGAAAGGCTCCTAATATGACAAGCAGTGCAGGAAATCGATGCACACATAAAATTTGTTTTTAGTTATTATCATTGTTTTTTTTTTCGTGTGTTTTTTTTTTGTTTTTACACCAACATGAAAATTTAATGTCACTCTCAGTTTTTTTTTTTGTTGTTGTTTTTACACCAGCATGAAAATTTAATGTCACTCTCGCATGAGCTGGTTAAGGGAGCGGGGATGTCAAACTAGCATTGCCTCATTAGTAATGTTTTCCTCATAGTTTGCCTGAGTTACGGTGGATTTCTTGATCTGGATTATCTTTTCTAGAAGTCTAATATTTTTAAATAATGAGCAAGTTTTCTGAAACTGAAAAGTATGAGGCAGCAATAACTAAATATATGAGTTTTTTTTAAATCTATTTATGGGCTTGGAAGGCCATGAATAACCATTTGACGAAGGGTTGTGACAAGTAGCAAACAACATGACAGGTGCAACCCAACCCCAATAAAGAATTTGAGTGCAAATGAGAGAACAGTCCAGGATGTTTATACATTGATATACTGTATACATGTGTACATGTATATCCACACACACGCACGCACACTATCTATCTATCTATACTAATGTGTGTATACACACCTACAATTTTAAGTGAATAACTTTTTGAAAATAGGACTTACAAGCATGCCTGTTCCAGCATTTACGCATAAAACCATGGCAACGAAAAAAAATGCCTGGTTTATCAAAGAGGCAAAAAGTGTGCAGTGCAAAACTGCCCCGCTATAAGTGTAGTCTCTGACATAGAAATGCCCGATACAAAATAGACGTTTTTCATCATATGTGGTATTTTTTAAAAGGTATTTCAAAACACTTAAAACAATAGAAATACTATTAAAGACAATACATTGAGAAAACAGGAGCAATGGAAAATTAAAATCTTGTTCAAGCAGTATAAATGATGAAATTGCTTGTTTTTTTTGCGTGATATATCGATGGATGACTACCATTGTTTTAACAAAACAAAACAAAAAACTTTAAATGTAAAGTCTGAGTGTTTACCTATGTGAGTGTTGAACTCTTGATTTAACTGAGTTATATTTGTTCTTCACAATGTGTAAATATATATATTTAAAGGGTCACATTTAACAAGATTTCATAGCGTAATTTCCTTTCAAAGTTCCAAATACTGTACATTATCACACTAACACCTGACTTGAGACGTTTAGAGCTGCCCACTGCACGATCTACTTACCGCGCCAGGAATTACGTTCAGGCTATGATTGGTTGTCCCCTCTCACCAGACATCGTGCACGGGATTCTATTGGACCACTGTTACAGCGTTGTTCCGTGGTTGCAATTCTTACTTTGTGATTGGCCAGGAAATCTGCGCGCTGTTCCTTCTGCACGTTGAACAAAGTACCTTGTCATCTGATTGGTCGAATAGTCTTGTGTGTAGCACGTAGGTTACGCTTCCCAGTCATCCTCGCATATAAATACTCTTCTGCCGTGGTTACTCTCTATTTAAGAATTGCTACTTAACTGGCGCTCAGTCCAAACCAAATTACGTTACAGGCGTTACACTCACACAGGTAAGATTTTTTTTTATGCCTACAATCAAGAGTTGATCGGTTGGATTCTTTATGTATTTAAGGGCACCTTTCCGACGAGCTTGGTCGGACATGGGTATCCGTGATGTTATTACATCATATAAAAACTATTTAAATGAGCAACTGCTATGAGAAGTTGTCATCGAAGTTGTTATGAAAGATGTCACAAGACCGAAGTGAGCTAGCTTGACAGATCGCAAAAGCTTGTCCGTCAATTTATTTGCTCCGGGTAGGAAACCTCCCATGATGACGACCCTTATAACGTGATCATCACTGAGGAGTTTGTCCACATTAAATGGCAATTCATTCTACCTATCTTATGTGTGGTTAAATGTCACTGTGTTAACTGAGCTAACGAGTGACAGATGAGGGCACTGCCATGACTGACCATTTTAACTTGGGGCAAATTCCGTTAACCTTTCACCCAGTTTTCTTCCTCATTTCCTTGGACTTCAGTTTCCATAATCCTAATGCTAACCTTTCGCTTATCTTTTTTGTCAATAACTGCAGGTAGCGATGGAAACATTATTGCCATCACATTTTTGTGAACTTTTTAATAATAAAACTAACAATAATAATCATGTGCCTCCGTTTCTGTGTGTTGTGTGATTGGAGCCTCGACAACAATGTAAAGTGCTAATTCGTTTTATTTACTCTCGAGGTCAGTGGTCACCTTGTTGTCTCCCTACATTCTGGCCCTATGAGCAAGGTTTATGTACAGGGGACATCTCACCTTTAAAATAAATCCAGTGTCAAAAAAATATGTAAATCGATTATTCAATAATTGTTTACAGAGAACATTACAATTTTTAGAACCAATAAAGTAGTAATAAGTATTGTTGTCTAACATGAAATAACAAGGACTTAGAGTGAACATTTAAAGATACATTTGAACCCAGCACTCAACTGCATTGTCTTCATTTCACTGCATATAACCATGAGTGTTAATGTGAAACCTTCTCAACCGATACAGGATGCCTGGTTCTGCGTCTAATAACTGCTTGGGTCCGTGGCCCAAGGATGTGGGTATCATTGCCATGGAACTGTACTTCCCATCGCAGTATGTGGACCAAGCTGAACTGGAACAGTTTGATGGTGTTACAGCTGGCAAATACACAGTGGGCCTGGGTCAAGCCTGCATGGGTTTTTGCTCAGACTGTGAAGATATCAACTCCCTTTGCCTGACAGTGGTCCAAAGACTGATGGAGAAGAACAACCTTTCTTACGATTCAATAGGTCGTTTGGAAGTTGGCACTGAGAGCATCATTGATAAGTCCAAGTCTGTAAAGACAGTCCTCATGCAGCTGTTTGAAGATTCGGGCAATACTGATGTGGAAGGCATTGACACCACAAATGCCTGTTATGGTGGGACTGCTGCACTCTTCAATGCTGTAAATTGGGTTGAATCTAGCTCGTGGGATGGTAGGTGAACAAACACACACAAATAATGAGTAGAACGAGTAGTAGTTTGATCATTGTTTCATATTGACAGATTAATGTTAATGTAATGATTGTCATCTGAATCGTGATGTAATTCATTCCACTACTACAATTTTGCTGTTATTTCACTGCTATTTAGTAGGCAACACTATTTTTTTCCCCTTTGTGTGGTTGATCTTCTTTTCTCTATGCAGGCCGCTATGCCTTAGTTGTAGCAGGCGACATTGCTGTTTACGCCTCAGGAAGCGCCAGACCTACAGGCGGTGCTGGTGCTGTGGCAATGCTCATTGGGCCCAATGCTCCTTTAGCCTTTGAAAGAGGTCAGAAAATGTGTGAATGTGTTAATAAGTGCCTGAATTAACACTGATGATAAGACTTAAAAATGAAACGAGTGTGTTAATGATGATGTACTTTGTGTCTTGCGCAGGTTTACGAGGAACCCACATGCAGCATGCGTACGACTTCTACAAACCTAACCTCATGTCAGAGTATCCTGTGGTGGATGGCAAGCTATCTATTGAGTGCTACCTGAGTGCCTTGGACCGCTGCTACTCTGTGTACCGGAATAAGATCCATGCTCAGTGGCAAAGAGGTTGGCCAAAAGTCTTTTTACAGTGGAAAACGTTAAGGCTAACAACAGTGTACTTTTTTTTTTTATTTTTTTAATGTTCTTTCTAACTTGTTCAGATACTTAACTAACTGAGCAAATCTACCTACATTGATGCAACTTTATGGTCAAACTATTAGGGGAAGGGAAGAAATAGTGTGGAATCCAAACATTTAGGATAAATGTTCCAGGAATGTCTTCTCCGTTATGTTAAAACTGCCTGAGGTGAACTTAAAAAAATATATATATATATATATATATATATATATATTTAATATGAAATTTTGAATAAACTTTTTTTCTTTTTTACTGCCATTCAAATGTGGAAATGCGACACTGTTGGTATTAAAATAAACACTCCTTCCACATTGTAAACTGCAATATTAATGAATATAGACAATGTGAAGCTTGCACTGTCGGTAAAATCCATTGTAAAGTATTCTTCATAAGCTCTTCCCATTTGTCTCTTTTTGAGGCTGGTCATACTTCTCCAATATGGCACGCAACAAAATCCATAACAGACATACAATTGACTTTCCACTTGAGGAAATGGGGATCCAAAGAGTACTATAAAGGGCAAATTAGTTTAATGTTCACTGAATTAAAGTCTCAGAAAATAAGGTATGGCCACAATTTATGACTTAAAGGGGAAGTAACTCTTAAATGGTCTTTCAATATGTTCTATGCTGCCACTTATCTAAATACGGCATTCAGATTTAATATTGTGTCTGTGGAATATGAATTAAGCAACCGTTTTTTTGTTTCCAACGCGGGGGGGGGCATTTTGCCTCTCGTTGCTGACTGAAAATGACATCACAGTGCATAAGGGCTCGGTTAATCAATCACAGCTCACCTGTTTTCTGGGTTTGGTCATGTGACGTTCACAAACTGAGCTCGGCACTGTGATGTTATTTTCACTCAAGAGCAAGTGGGAAAATGAAAATGGGTGCTTAATTCATATTCCACAAACGCAGTATTAATCAGAATGCTGACTAGACTCATGGGGGCGCATTGTGGTATCGTAAACAACATTTTTGACTTCACCCTCCCGTGTAAGTTTTTTTCAAATTCTGTTAAATCACCAGTACAAAAATTGATGACAGAAAAATGTAGGAACCTATATCAAGGTGGTTATTGATATTCCACAAAGCTATCCTTGGTATGTTAGTAAAACTGTAATTTTAGCATGAACTTAAAAGACTATGCATTGCAATTTTTTTTAAGTTTGGTTTCTCTGTTGGATGTCTGCTTTGCATACTTGTTTGTTGGGTGAACTGATATCTGCCTAATTGATTGAGAGGGCTTAGGACATTACTTGCTGTTGGATTTACATGGCTTGCTGTGCTAAGTTTACCCAAGTTCAGTGATCATAAAGTAGCTTTGAAACGAGCCTTTAATCTGCTGAGCAAATGTGTCTGAAGTGAGGGAGCCCAAGTGTCGTAAATCATTGATCAACTAGGCAAGCTGTACTCTGTTCTTTTATGTGCTTAACCTCGAGCAATTTGGACCAAAGCAGAGTCTCAATATCACTTTGAGCGCTTTGACTTTTGGATGTCATTGTTTTTTTTTTTTTTTGTTTTGTTTTTTTTGGTGGGTTAGAAGACAAAGGGCAAAAACACACATCCACGCGAGTGCTGGGATTCCACAAAAATGCTTGTTGTTCATTGAAGCTGTTACTTGCCACTTATCCCATGAAATATGTCCATCATGAATACTATATATTTGGAAATCACCCTATTCACCACAACAACTGACACCAGTTGTGCAACACTAATTTGTTCATACATAACCCCCAAAAAGGAGACTACAAAAGCGCTGCCCAATGATTGGCATTTCTTCGAGGCAACACACAGTATGAGAACGACATTACCCTTTTATTTTGTTCCTGCACTAAGTGTAACTTCTGATTTTACATGGTATATTTCGGCTTGTTTATTTAAGACAGAGCTTTAAATGTACCATATTTTCAGCACTATGAGTGAGGCGCTTTGGAATATAAGGCGCACCTTCAATGAATGGCCTATTTTAAACCTTTTTTCATATACAGGGTGCACTGCATTATAAAGCGCATAGAGTAGAAGCTGCAATAGTGGCTGCGGTTGCGCTATGCATCCACTAAATGGAGCTACACTAAAGGGAATACAATACAATACAATACAGCTTAATTTATATAATACATTAATACAGTTTTATTTACCGGTATATAGAGGCTTCACAACAGCTGGAGCTGGAACAAAGCCATGAGAACTGGTCATAAACACCAACATGAAACATAAATACAAATGGCATTACCAAACAATAAATGAAAGACAAAAGTTATGAAAAAAATGTATCACATCCACAAGGGGCTAAGTATTCCTAGAAGTTTTGCTTGTCTCCTTCCTTCGTTTAGTCAGCAGTTAACTCTGCTTTAGTTATCATCTTTGTTTCATAATGGCTGTGCAAAGCTCACAAAGTAATTATGTGTTGGCGAATGCACATGTCAATTAGTGCCCGGCAGAACCTTTTTAGGTTACAATTGGTCCGTGCTAATAATTACCACTCAATGGCATAGGAACACGAACAGGGAAAAAAACTGAATGGGGAATATATACAGTGACTGTGAGACCATATATAAGGTGCATCGGATTACAGGGCGCACTGATGGCTTTTGGAAAAATTGAATGTCTATAGGTGCGCCTTACAGTGTGGAAAATACGGTCATTTGTTTGCGGTAGCTACTTTGTCGTGCACCACAGACATGCTATAAAAACATTTTGTTTATTTTGTTTGAGCCACTACCCCAATGGCCTTAGCAATATTAACAAAAGTTATGTCAGATACTGCTATTTAAATAGACACAATTTAGACAAATGAGACAATATGGATGTACTTTTTTATGCATTAGGGACTGTCATGACAGATGGTCAATAATTAACTCACTGGGGTTCAACAAAAAATCTGATTGGGACATTCCAAGTAAATATCTCGGTAAAAGGTGAAATGGGATTGCATGTTGTCAGTGAAACAGTTCCTTTCTTCTGACAAACAAAGCAAGAAGTAATTTTTGAACTGAAGGATTTTTTTTTAAGCCTTTCTCTTCTCCTTGACAGATGATTCAGAGAAGCGCTTTTCTTTGGAGGACTTTGGCTTTCTCGTCTTCCACTCGCCATACTGCAAGCTGGTGCAAAAGTCGTTGGCTAGACTGATGCTGAATGACTTCCTGAACGACCCCTGCCCAAACACGGAGACGGGCCCCTTCAGTGGCCTTGATGCTTTCAGGTAAACCAACAACAAAAAAATGGCTGGACAGGGAGACATGCTCATTTACCCACCGATCTGATCATTAAAATGCACACGGCTCAAAAGATAATGTGTAAAATTTCATCATATTTGTGTTCTTTTTGGCAGAGACATAAAGCCAGAGGAGACCTACTTTGATCGTGATGTTGAGAAGGCCTTTATGAAAGCCAGTGCGGACTTGTTTGAGAGGAAGACCAAGCTGTCTTTGCTCATATCCAACCAGAACGGAAATATGTATACCCCCTCAGTCTACGGCTGCTTGGCATCAGTCATTGCGCAGTATGTCTCAATATCTGACTTTTGTTTTGACATGCATGCACTAGTCGCTATAACCATGCGGGCAAGAACTAGAATCTCAAATCAAAAGCATGTGCTGGGATTGCTACACATTTAAAATAAGGAGCACTCCCTCTCGTCGGTAATGACCTCATATCAAGCTTGATAAACGGAAGACCTGAAATTCAGTCGAACTTACGGCTCATCGTTGTTTAAACTAATTATTACTTTGTATTTGACAGATTCAGAGTTGTGTATCAAAACCTTTCTCATTTTGGGGGGAAATTTATTTGATAAAATAAAATCCAACACCAAGACAAGACACGTCATCTTGAAAGGCAATTTAAAATAAAAATAAAACAGAGAACAACAGGCTGAATAAGTGTACGATATGGTAACGTTGCATGACTGGTAAACAACAAACTGAGAACGTGCCTGGTATGTTCACGTAACATATTAAGAGTTATTCAGATAACTGTAGCATAAAAAAACATGCTAACAAGTTTACCAAACCATCAGTGTCACCCCAAATCACTGAATCCAATGAAATCTTCAGCCTCTGTGCCACTTTTAAACAATTCTGCCAACTCCGGAGGTAGAAGATGCGGTGCTCCCTTTTCTACGTCGCTTATGTCAGACTTATCAACACAGGACAAGAGCGCCCTCTTGTGGTATAATCTGAAAATAACATGTGAAATGATATACAGTACAGTACTGTAATTATGTGTTAATAATTTCACACCTAAGTCGCTCCAGAGTATAAATCGCACCCCTGGCCAAACTATGAAAAAAAAACCCTGCAATTTATAATCCGGACAATACGGTATACTGAAAATGAGGCCATCATTAAACCCATTAACTTCAAAATAATTTTAAAAAATATACAAGTTTATGACAAAAGGGGCCATCTTTACAAGTAAAACGTAAACACTAAAACTTGCCGTCCTTAGTTTAATTGCAAATGCACTTTGTGACATTAATTGACACATACTGTACATTAAAAAAAATTACCACTGTGAACACTTCATTGACTTTAAAAATAAAAAGACAAAGCATATGGTGATGAGTGTCATCATCCTGCACCTCAAACTTTTTCTGTCAAGTATTTACATGGATTTTGCTGCTTTTTTTTTTCTACTGTAAAATACAGGAACCCTGTTCAGTAGTACCATATATTAAATATAACTAAAGTGCATATGTCTTGACAGATAAGCAGCAAATTTAGGTCGATTTTTCATAATTTTAGTGTAACAGGTTGCCATCTTTGTTGCAGACACACATCTTCGCAGATGGCAGGTCAGAGGATTGGAGTCTTCTCTTATGGCTCAGGATTTGCTGCAACTCTGTATTCTCTCAGGGTCTCACAGGACCACACACCTGGTGAGTTTCCCACAGTTCGGCCCCACTTGTCTGACACGAATCAGTCGTGATTGATACCCGCTGCCCCCAGGTTCTGCTCTTGACAAACTTATCTGCAGTATGAGTGACCTGAAGGTCAGACTGGAGTCAAGGAAGAAGGTTTCACCTGCTGTCTTCTCTGAAAACATGAAGCTCAGAGAAGAGACCCACCATCTAGGTAGGACTTTTCCCGGGTTTATGTTGAACGGTGCAAATCGTAATGACACACTCGTTGGTAGCCAGGAAAAGCACAGCAAAATATTGCTGGGCCAAATTCGAGAAGTCACTCAATTAGGCACAAACTAAGCAGAGATTCAAATAAACGAATGTGGCTTTATCACGTCAGCTTTTCACTTTTCATAAAGCGCTAATATGCAAACATGTGGACTGCATTTCCTCTGAACTTACATACACCATATTTTTAAATAAAATATGCATATAAGAAAAACAAATTAAACCTACTGCACAAAATAAAGGTGTTTATCTTTTTTTCTCCAAATGGCATCCGTTGCGATTTGAAAATTGCATTCTGCTATTTTGGCCATGCCGCTTTGAATTGAATTGTTCATCCCTCTCATATTTCTTCATAATGAAAAAATCCCCATTGAAGTAAACCTTATCAAACTTAATTCCAATTTTGCTGTACCAAACTCGACACTAGTGATCCTTCCACTCTCAGCCACCAAAGCTGGCTTGCGAGGTGCAACATTGCCAAGCAAAGTTTCTTGTGCAGCAGAGCTATACGTCGATATG